GCCCTCAGCTTTTGACCGGAACCGGCTATGTGCCCTTGGTGTTCTACTCAAGGGGCCCCTTGCCCGGAAGGAAATAATGGGCCTTATTATTGTGAGTATAGTGGTCTCATTATTATTGAATAGAGTAGGTCGAAATGATTTTAAAAAAAACAAGGCCATCTCATGTTTGCCTAAGACCGTTCATTTTTTTCCAGAATGGATAAGTGAAAAAGTGCATCAAAAGGTTTGAACACGCCCGCCCGCAACCTAGAGAGCAAGAACAGCGATCGTCCGGGTTGCAGCTTCCGTAAAACCGAACAGCGTTAACCACAGCAAGTGTCACCAGACGGCAGACGCCGTAGTAATCTGTCTTCTGGGCAGATTAGTTGCTACAGAAACACGAAAAATAGAGAATCTACCTTTACTCTTCCAGTTCCACCACCAGATTCCAGCACCACTGCGCGGAGTTTTACGGGCCAATTTGCTCTTATCATCAGTCTAAAAATCGCACACGTGAAACCTGCGCCCAGACTGCTTTGAGCATGTAAGATTTGATGTCCTGAAGCGTTCAAAGGTACTTTTTTAGACTCGTCTTCATTTTCGTCCATCCGTTGGCCAGGGCTCAATATCAGGTGTTCAGCCGACGCTGCGAGGCCTACGGAGACTGCAACGCATGGCGTCGAGGTTTTTTTAAAACAAGATTTGCTATTACGCATGCTCAAAATTATGTCACATAGCCTTTATTAGTAACCAATTCAAGTGTTTGCAGGTAATTATTTCAGAATCGTTATCATTTTCGTCCACCGGTGGACCATGACGAAAAGTCAACCACTGAGCCAACGCTCCGCGGACCACGGAGACTGCAACGCCTGGTGTCGAGGTTTTTGTTGCTAAGATTTGCGAGCACGCATGCTAAAAAACACGTTCTTTAAGTTGTATCATTGATCGCTTCTGACTAAATATTTTACATTTCCAGACCAACATGGTTTGCCGATGTTAATACACATTGCTGACCACTCGATCTACAAGCGAAATTTTCACCCTCAAATTTTGACAAAACATATCGATCTACAATCTACCTTCGCGATGTCCTCAATGTCTGTAGAGCGCAGATAAAACATTATGGAAAAGCTTCTGAGTTCTATCGGTTTAGAAGGGGTCCACTAAGCCATTGCAAATTAAGGACACCGGCGATGTATTCTATACGGTCGTTGAACGCCTGATTTCTGCATTTTATTAACCTTAACACGCGCTCGGGTGGGGGGTCAAACTGACTCGCCCCCGAAGGTTTTTCAGAATTGTTTCCGAACGGCCACGCAGCCACGCCATATATTGCACAGCTGTAGACGATTGAATAGTGGATCGCTTGGCATCAAAAGCTGAGATTTACTTTACAAGGCCGCTGACCTATGGCAGGCCAAAATCAGGCCATGGTTTCAGCGAAGTCGACTTCTAGGGAGTCGTTTCAATCTGATGCAACAATGGAATGTTAGACGAAGCCATACATCTCTGAGATGCTTTCTTAGGCAACACACATATTTCATGAACAAATTACGTTGACCTAAGGTCAGATATAAAGGTCAGACCAAGGTCAAAACCAACCTGTTCTATTACTTTAGGGCTTGCTGTATAGGATAGTCTCTGGTGCTCATTTCGAATCTATCGATTGCAGGAAACACGTTATACATTTTCCATGGACTTCTTACAGGTCAGAATAGGTCATTGACCTAAAATGAACTAGGTCAACATTTAAAAAAAAGAAAAATACCGCCTAACGTAGCATTTCTCGCTTACTCCAATGCAAAACTCAGAACCGTCTTGTATGATTTTGGTCACCATGACCTTCAAAAGGTCAGACAACTTCACTGACCTTAACTGAGCATGTGAAGTTTTGCTTAGAGACAGTTATCTAGGTTATGGGAGCCCTTTGGAGACCAACCTGGAATTTGACCTTGTTTGACCTTATTCTATTCAAAAGTCATGGCCTAGGGACCCCAAATTTTGACCTAAGTGAGTTCACGTACAGGCCAATTGGTGTCTCTAGCTCTCTTAGTTCCTGAGATCTCAGGGATGCGAAACTGACCCCTACCTGAGCGAAGGGTATCTAGCCGGCCACCCGGGCGTGTGTTCAAAATGTAAACATAATTTATTTCACGGTAGCCTCTGGTTTCTGTTCCGGTTACCACGTACAAACAACAATGAAACGAAGAAAACCGCATCCCTTGTTAACAAGTAAACTATATTCGGTGCATTTTTGTGGAGGGATCACCATAAACGTTTTTTTTGTCAACCCTGTGTTCCTCTTGGCAAGGCTTTGGTTACCCCTTGCCTACACAGACAAGCAGATCAAGTTATCTACGTTGGGCGGGTAATTAAATGGCCGTTGGGCCATTTCATACCTAAAGTAGGCAGTTTCCCCCGCGGCATTTTTTCTGTTGCGATGTGTTGTAAGGGAAGATAATTAGGAAAAAGGTACTGTTGCAAGTGTCGCAATACATGTTTTACATCCCAGTTAGTAGCAATGCTGATTCAGAAATGTGCAACAAAGCAGTCATACCATCAGTTCGCCGTCAGTCATTCGGAGACAGCCGGACCAGGACAGCTGCCACCGACGGCGGACGGGAGCAGGGCTCGGACAAGGAATATATGACAGAAGGACCTCTATTTTGTAGATTGGTTTTCAAAGGAGATTCTCCAGTCCTATGACTTTTATCACGTGATTTTTGGCAGTTTCAAGCTTCTAAATTTGTTTGCGCCTAAAATGTGACAAGTCTTATCTCTTGAAAAGCAGCCAGCGAAAGGAGGGCGCATGCAAAATCTGTTGCACTGTGAGCTATCGATTCACTTCCAAAACTCTCACCAGCCTATGTTCAGGCCATATTTTGGCATCTACCATGTGATGACAGGTGCCTCCTCAATGGCCCAAAATGCCTACCCGCTCGTGGAATTTCGGCTCCCCGGGAAGGACAACGTTGAAATGGATGAATAATCTTGGGAGGCTGGATAGCCTTATTTTCCGAATGGCATAGATGAAGCGGATAGGCAAGAGTGTGCACCGGTGAGAAACAGCTCTAAATGCATACCTAGAATAGCAGTCATTACGTTTGAATAAAGAGCGAAAACCTCCATCTCTACCCCCCCACCCCCACCCACCCCACCCGTTCATCCGGCTTGTTTTCCAGAAAAAAGTTTCCTGAAGTATGCCCTGAGCTTAGCCCTCCCCACTTTTTGAAACGTTCATACTGCCTACGGACGTTACAAAAGTGCGAGGTTGTCTACCAAACTGTCATGCCGCTCTGACGCACTCCAATTGCTCAGATATCTTTACAGATTAGCACCAGCGGTTATTTGGTTCATTGAATCCACATATATATATATATATATATATAAATACCTATATATAATCAAGGGTGTGTGTGTGTGTGGTGTGTGGACGTCACAAAGGTGGCTGGGTGTGTGTGGTGTGGTGTGTGTGTGCGTGTGTGTGTGTGTGTGTGTGTGTGGGTGTGTGTGTGCTGTGTGGTGGTGTGTGGTGCTGTGTGGTGTGTGGGTGTGTGTGTGTGTGTGGTGTGTGGTGTGTTGTGTGCTGTGTGTGTGTGTGGTGTGTGTGTGTGTGTGTGTGGTGTGTGTGTGTGTGTGTGGGTGTGTGTGTGGTGGTGTGTGTGTGTGTGTGTGTGTGTGTGGTGTGTGTGTGTGTGTGTGTGGTGTGTGTGGTGTCTACAAACACATAACCGCGTGGTGATCGCTAACCCAGGCTACGTCATGGTGTTGAAAACCGTTTGGTCTGCTGAAATACAGATTAAGTCGGAGCTATGAGGTGGGAAAAAAGCTAAGCACCTGAACTGAGGTACAAGTCATGTCAGATCACGAGCTGCATCTCATGCAAGCAATGACAATGATGCATCCCCAGGAAGGAAATGTAATGCCGAGTTCATTGGTGCCATCTGCTTCGTCGGATGATGCCTAGCCCAAAACTTATGCACACAAATGATTGGATATGATCAGTTTCTGTCGCAATGCATTATTTTCTGGTCATTTTAACATGGGACCCAACGATCTAAAAAATCTTGAGCCGTTTCATTTTCTTTCAAAACGCTACAAACGTAGCAGAGCCTAGATAAGGGGGGGGGGGGGGAGGATATGCCTCTGCTTTTCACGGTGCATAAAAAATGTTGACCTCCGTAGGTCACCGCATGTCAGATCGATATTTGTTGTGTGCGTATGTAATGCGTGATGATAGCTTAGCAAGGCAAACTAATGTACTACAACCGATATCAGTCAGCTTTATTCGAATGTGCGCACCACGTAGTCAAAACCTTAAGCTGAAAAAGTTAAGACACCTAAACAGCTAAACTAAAAAAAGACAGCTAACCTGCAGTACAGGTCATGTCGGGTGACGTGATGACTTCACGCAAACAATTTTGAAACACACATCTTTAGAAAGGAGATGTGGTGTCGAGTTGAGTGGTGCCATTTGCTTGATCGAATAATGCCCAATTGTATCAATATCCGGTTATGACCAGTTTCTGCCGCAATGCATTATTTCCTGGTGACTGTAATATGGGACTCATGGGGGCTTCCATATTACACGGGGCATGACAAACTTTGACCTGTAGAGGTCATCCCATGTCAGATCGATATTTGTTGTGTGCATATGTAACGCGTGATAATTGCCTAACGTGATGACACCTAGCCTTCCGAAACCCATTTCCAGGTCATGGGCCCTCGCCTCTGTAAGAGAAGTGCTACAGCACTATCTACTGGATGCATGAATGTAGCCCAGCTCCGTCGCAAGTGCTATTGTTTTTAACATATACCTCAGTACTGAAACATGCGCATGACTTACACTGCTTGTTCACGGTTGTGGCCGGTTCGTTTCGCATGGCCTTCAGTCGAATGAGACGGGGCCGTTTCCTAATGACGTCACACCTACGCGAAATGGTAACACCAACAATTATTTTCGATGCCCCATATTTTTGCCAACCTTGTCAACACTTGTCAGCGTGGGAGCGAAGCGCGAGGATCCCGGGACCGGCGCGTGCTCCGTGCTATCTAGGATAGGTGTGGTTGCTCGTCCGGGTTGGTTGATTGGCGGGTATTGGAGGGTTGTTGGCCGCTGTCAAAAGGAGATCATTTTGTTTCAAGTAAGTGAGAAGTGCAAGGACCGCACAAGGGTGCTTTTCTGTCACTCGCCATGTTCTGTGGTCCCGGCGCGGACGCGTTTTTACTGTGTATGACAGTTGACATTGCATTGCGCTTGATAGTGTTTGGTGTTGTCTGTGTGGGAATGGTCGCGACTGATGTTGGACTGAAAATTATGTTTATTATGCCAAAAATGTCGAAGTGGCAAAATTGCGCCAAGATTTTTGGCGCGTATACTCCGTACATCCCGGAGTAAATCCAAGTGCCCGAAGATTTGCGCTATGCTGCCACTAATTCAGCCTATGGGAGGCCAGCGTGTCATGATAGGAGCAATATTGCTGTAGTAATTTCACGCACAAACCTCCCCTATTTGTTAGTTCAATATTGCTTCGATTAGATAATTCAGTAATTCAGTCTTAACCGAGTTTGACGCACTTTTGCGCCAGGTTCGGCGCATCAGTATCGCTGGCGTTTGGCGCACTGGAGGGACTGTTTGTAAAATGCTTGTGATGTACATCCTCCTTGCATATGGTGCATGCTCCTTGTGTAAAGCATACATTACAGAACAATATGGGATTTGTTATTTGGATATTCAAGGTTGAAGTATTGACACTAAGTGACCACACAGTTAAAGTGCCTGAAAGTTGAGGTGCTACTATTCATACTGTTGCTTCTAAGGGTTCAAGTACTGAAAAAGGTGTTTTGGGACTGCAGAATGTTATGGGAAACTTCTGAAGAAAAAAGTTTGACCTCTTTATTGTTTGATTTTGATGCTTTCAAGCTTTTTGGATGTGGTCTTTGATGTCTACCTTCCTGAATATTTCATGTAACTTGTTCCCTTATACTTATATTCTAGAAAATATGTGCCTTTGAAAGGATTCCAATTAAACCACAAAATCAGACCCTACCCAAGCTTTTTCTGGGAGATAGGCTGTTGGATGTATAGCAAAACATAAAGCTTCTGTGATACACCACATGTTTTCTGCATCTTCCTAGCAAGTATGACTAAAATCCAAGCATTCAAAATTAAGCTTTGACCAACCAGGTGGTTTGATGTGTCTGAAAAAATGTCTAAGAACAAAACAAATATGTTTCATATATAATATGAATAACATAATATGTATAACATCAAATGTGAGTGCATCAGACTGCACCAAATAACAATTTTTTTTATCAGTAAATGTGCTACTCATGGTGTCATTGTGTGATTACATCATAGAGCATGTTTATGGCATTAGAGTTGCTGCTAGAGTTGCTGTGCCAGAGTTGCCAATGCAATGGATGGTGTGACTCACTCAAACTTCTATGTGTGTGCAGTAAGGTGGCAGTGTTGGTTGTGCTGCGGTAGAGGCATGCAGTCATAGCAAAACCTGACTGATTGCTAATGTCCTTCTGTTGTCGGGACAATTTGTGCTGAAGCACCTAAGATATGAATGTGTTAGTGTCTGTGCTTCTCTTAGCTATGAGCTGAGAACACCCAGTGAGGTAGAGTGCCCGCATGACATTTGTCATGCTTTGTCATACTTTATTTTTGACATAATGCATGTTTTGGTGATGTGCCTGTGAGCCGGGCATCATTCATTCTGTCATAGGCTGCACAAGTTAACATGTGTTAAGCTCAGAAACCAGAGTGTTTTAAGTCTTAAAAAACATGGCTGTGAACCTCAGGAAATGATCATGAAAATGGCTATATCAGCGCAGTACACAAATGTGTTTACACTATTTGCACACTTAGAAATGTTCAGTACACAATGTGCAATCCCCATGCAATTGTGGAACAGCTCCTTAAAGGTTTCCCAAAAATGGATTCAGTTGAACCAAAATTTGACCATTGGATGGCGATGTCAGGGCTCGCACAAGCTCTCCTTTACATTGGCTTTGGGTGGGTGCATGCATGCGTGCATGTGTACATACATGCATTCATGCATATGTCAGCTAAATCTAGAATTCCTGGCATTTTTTCTGAATATGTTTTGATGTTTCAGGTTGTTGTAGTGTGAGAGCCTGTTTTCATCACTTTATTAGGTAAGCACAGCCACCCCCTTATTCTTGTCCATAGAACAGCTCTGCCCATTGTCACATTGGCATTGGGTCCCCACTCTCAGAGCTCACATGTCATCTCCACAATCACACAGGTCCATCTATCTGTGCAAGCATATTGGGAGCTGTTGGCTATGCTTGGTGCATAACTATTTATTGCATAGTTTGTCACGTGTTAGTGCGCTCGGCGCACTGCGTGTGCCTGCGCGCATGGATGTGCACGGCCATGATAGCACAGATGAAAAGGTGGATCAACGCCGATCTTGTTTCCAGCCCGCGTCAGAGTCAACTCATCCTCAATCGAGCTTGCTCGGCCCTCTGGCTATAAAGGTCGTGTCGCACGTCAGAATCAACTCGTCCTCGATCGAGCCTGCTCGGCCCTCTGGCCATAGAAGTTGTGTCGTAATGCTTTTTCCGGGCGAGGAGTTTTGGCGAAAAGATGCTTACTGGCACGGTCTCAGTTTTCACAGCGGAGCTCACCGCTCTGTAGTCACTGGTTTGACACATTGGAGGTACGAGGCCGGTGGAGCGTAGATCAACGGTGTGCCCTCCCTGAAAACAACGTATTCCGCGACAACGCCCCTGCCGACGGATAACACCAGACACTGAGGTTCAGCACCAGTGCAGAAACGAACGGGCGCGAGGCCAATATCGGCATTTTGTAAATAGGTGGCATGCAACTGCCTTTCACTATCTCGGTGATATCTGGCCGTGCGTCGAACACCGCGTGAATTGGAGCCTTATTGAGCTTTGCGTCTCGCCATCGGTGAAGCTGCCACTCGACAAGTGCCCCGAACAAGGGTACGCGGTCGGTGCAGCGACCACCTATAGTGGCTTGGTTGGGGTTTGTAGCGCCAGGAACGAACGTAGTGACATGTCAGAGGCATCGCTTGGCAAAGGACTTCTGTCAATACGAGTCCGACTGTGTGGACATGAGGGTGGAAGAGGAGCACCACATGAGGCTATGTAAGTCACGGCCGTCAGGTGGCCGCACACGGTCGTGCTCTTCACAGCGTTCAGAAGTTTAGCCTCAGACATGCTCACCGGCGGTGGAGGACAAGCTGGCATTGCCGCATCACACATGTTCACAGGTGGTTCTGGCGGACTGGATGACGTTCGTAGCCGCCTGCCGCAGGCCTCGCACTGAGTGTATGGCGTCTTGGAGGAGTCTTCCACGCGTTGGTGGCCACGCCACGATATTTGAGGTTTGACGAGACGACATTTCAGGTGACGCTATGGTACAGTTATGCCCTACCGCCCTGTGCATTATAAGCGATATGTGTTGTGCAACAGATCGCACGACTGTGTCGGAACCGCATCACGTATTTTCACTTATATGGTGGGACTAACTGTGCTGTCAACGTGCTTATACGCAGACATGCCGAAGACAGCAAACAGCCAGTACATACCGATACCGACATTGTCATTGGCGGAGTCCTGGTCGTAGAAACAGGGAAAGACGGGACGATGGGATATCGAAAGACGGGACGACGGGATATCGAAAGACGGGACGACGGGATATCGAAAGCTGGTCGAGATCGTCAGCACTCGCGTCCGCCGTGTTCGTGACGGCGGTCGGCTCGCTCAGGCGGCGCGTGACCTCATTGGCCCTCATACCGTACACAACAGTCGCGTGGTGCATTGAGCAATCGTACAGATGGTAACGGGCCTAATGTGGGTGGTGGTAAGGTCCTACTCCGGACTTAATATCAAAATGTGTTAGCAACATGTTGGGCCGAGTCCAGCCTGTGTCTGCCCGATCGAGTGATATGTCCGGTCACCTTCCGGGGCGAGGTGTTCTCACATTCCTCGTGCTGTCTGGTGTGTTTTTGATGGCGGCGTTGCTCGTCTGAGAGGCTGCGGTCGGGATGAGTGGCGATGGTTGGCTTTGTGCTTTGAGCACCAAATGGCGGTGTGCGTGCCACCCGGACGGTGACCGCACGTGCCTGGGGTTGTTTGGTGTGGGCTTAGCGTTTCACCTATACAAAAGAGACCATCTATGGAGATGCATGCTGGGATCTTGTTTGTAGTCAGGTAAGGATCAACCAATAGATAAACGCTCGCGTAGAAGTGGCCCGGAGTTTCTGATGGGTGGTCACATCTGAACAACAGCTGTGGGTCACGATTCACTAGATGTTCGCCGCTGTTGATCACACCAGGTTTTGGTCTGATGCGTGGCCCGCAAAGTTTTGCATCTGTGCTCTCTAGTACGCTGTGGTTTTGTACGCTTTGCTTTTGCTTCTCCCGGTTGAAGCTGTTGATGAAAAGGCCGCTTCTCTGGGACTGTTTGTGACATGAAAGGACGAATAGCCGTCAATTATTTATCGGCTAATGCAAAGGAGAATAGCCAGCATTTCATAGATTCAACATTTACAAAGAATCATATCTCCACACCGCTCTTACACACACATCTCCCCAGCTCGAGTATACACCCGTGGAGATGATGTCTCTGCTCCCGATGTCCCCGTTCCCCCCTCACTACGATTTAAACCTGAGCTGAGCTACAGAAGGCAAAACAGGTCGCCTGCCATGAGGCAGGGGTTATGGCCGACTAGTTGGTGCGACAGCTGACACCCCTGTCGTGACAGATAGTCCCCGCTTCCCTAATCTCGGTGCCCTGTTTTTTCCGTCATCTCGGGTTGCGCCTTTCGCCTGAAAATAACATATGTGCCTGAGTAGCAGTATCCACTAACTGGCCGTCGGGTTTGTTCCCGGACACGATAACGGATGCCTAGAGGGAGGCTAGAGCACGACCCGTTCTTCAGACTGAAACTGTCGTAGATGACGCGTACGTCAGGACAGCAGTAGGTGAGAGTCGCCATCTGCGAGCTTACTCCGCGCTGGCGATGTACAGCCCTCCTGCCACGTCAGGGTGCCTCTGAAGGCCTCCTGTATGCTGCGCAGCGCGACATTGCTGACTGGCACGCAGGTCCATTGCCGCTTTCACATAATCGTAATCATG